TGACATAAAACACTTGCCTAGTTTGTGATGCAAAACTGAAAGGCTCAATCTTATAACCCAACATATTTAAATTCACCTATATGAACCATGAATTATCGTCCGTATGAAGACCACTCTCATTATCAATCCATTTGCAACCAAAAACTAGAATCTTGAACTTACTATAGTCTAACTCCTAAATATGCTCAATAATTTTGAAGTATGACTTCTTGCATGCATGGAATTTTTGTCTTTTACTACTGAATACACACATCGCTTCACCAATCACAGTTAACCACTATTTTGCATTATGCTTCTTTCATCCTGCTCTTTAGTATAAAATGTGAAGCCCTTGATTACATAACTAGTATAAGAAAGGACTTGTACGTTTGGGCCCTTAGAACAAGCATCTAACCTTTTTTAGTACTGAATTTTGTCAGCATTATACATGGCTGTAATGTGAGCCTTCAACCAATGCCTGAAGTTCTTGTTATGAATTTTTACAATTATAGTGTCATTTCTTCCAAGGTTATCCTTCCTAAGTTTAGCATTGTGCTTGTCAACATACTCAAGAATCTCATCTGAGTTATGCGATACAAAAAGGTGTGCTTGCTCACAATAGTTTTGTGAAATAGTGATTAATTTCTTTCCAGCTATCCCTTCCCCATCTTCCCTTCCCACATGCTCGTCCACTGGAAGCCTAACTTTTCCCCATCTTTTAAGTACTTTGACAAAATTCAATTGCCTCTTCACTTATGTACCTTTCAGTAATACAACCCTTAGGTCAACTTTAATTTTTCACATACCCTTTTAAAACCTTCATATTATGCTCAATAGGGTACATCCACTTTAAATAAGCCAGGCCACCCTTTTCAACCTCCCTAACTAAGTGAATAGCCAAGTGAATCATTATGTCAAAGAATGCGGGCGGAAATACATCTTAAGCTCACATAATGTCCTCATAATTTGGCGTTGCAAAGCTTCCTAACTTTGTAGGGTTGATCACTTTACTACAAATTGACTTGAAGTAGAAGCATAGTTTAATAATTGCAGCTGGCACCCCATCCAATAAAATTGAGCGTATGCCCACTAGAATAAAGGTCTCTATTAACACATGGCAATCATGTGTTTTTAAACCATTTAACTTTAAGTCTTTCACAAATACAATATTTCTAATATTGGAAGAGTGACTTTCTAGAAATTAACTCTGGCCAAAAACTCACAAAAAAAACTTGTTTTTCTCTTTTAGAAAGTGGTATAGGCAGCTAAATAAAGGTACATCACAACTTCCCTTCTCTTCTGATGCCAAGTCTTCCCATATTCCTGTAACCATCATGTCTAACCTTGCATTAATGCCATCTTTGGTCTTTCGTGTAATGTAGATTAACGTACCTACTATACTATCACATACATTTTTCTCAATGTGCATTAAATTAATAAAATACCTTATGTCCAACTTCCTTTAATAAGAAAATTCAAAGAAAATTGACTTCTTCTTCCACCCACCTATCCCAAACATGCTTCGCAAAAGGTTTTCCAAACTCAATATCAAAATCCTTAACTTTTTCAATAGCTCATCATTGGATATATTAGAGGTGCCGCCTCTTCTTCTAGTTTCCCATTAAAAAGATTTCTTAATCTTCA